CCCGCCTCTGCTAACTTCATTTTGCGCTTCTGTGGCGTTTGTTGTTCTCCCGCGTTGTCGTGCACAGGTGGGTTGACTTGGAAACCTGGCCGGCTCTGTGGGGACTCGGTAATTGCTTGCGAGTTGTCAGGGGAAGCGGTTTCATCTGCCGCTCCTCGTGCTGTGAGGAGTGCTTTATGCCTACGGAGTTTTTGGCTTTAAATGGAGAGATGCATCGCCCAATGCATCCTCTTAATTTGTTAACAAGTGCTGAGTTCTGTGGAGTTCTTGTCGTGCCTGTTTCGCAGTAAGCACTTATGGTGACTGTTAGCATTTGCGATTAAATTATGATTTGGCCCGCAAAGGTCAATTTGCCGCGAAAGGCATTTCTCACCATGGAAGTTCGGTGCTGCTTCTTCTCTGCTGGATTGTATGTTTATTTTCCCGCTGAAAATCTCAGCTGTTGATGAGTCAGTGGCCGTCGAATCGATAGGACAGTCAGATACTTCAAAGACTGGCGCTCACAAAGACCCCTTTTTAATCTGTTATTTTTTTTTTTTATTATTGGCTACACGACGGCATGGTCACTGGTCACCGAAAATGAGACAGTTGATTGAAAATGGGCGCCGAGTTTGGGGCCTGTGTCCGCCGGTCAAAGCCACGGACGAGCTCAGCTTGGCAGAATTGTAGCCTTAGTGTTTGTGGCGTGGGAGGTGAGGTTGGAGAGAAGCTTGCTCGATAGTAGCTAACGTGCCATCCTCCGCAAGGCCCATGACAGTGCTATATCTCGACACGGCACGAGTGAACGGCGTGTGGGACGTGGGCCTCCCTCGATCCCCTCCGAGTGGGAGGGGCCTTTCCGCTTCCGCAACCGTGCCAGGCTGCCGTTCTGATGCCGAAAGATTCCCGTCCGCTTTCCGGGGAACTTGACCCGAGAGGGGATCGTCGCAGAGGCCAAGCAAAATATGCACCACCGACGGATAGCAATGCTAATGTTTGACTATCTGAAATAGCTGTTTGCTTAGTGGAGAATGTTTGGTATCTGACAGAGGGAACATCTCTCTTTTTAGTAATCAAATAGGTCCGGCCAGTTGTTCCTTTCAGTCTAGGAGTGTGTCGACTATCATAAAACAGGACTCAGCTTCTGGGATACTGAAGATATGGAAATGAATACTGACTTATGCATGTTTTCTTTGGGGGGGGTGTGTTTTATATTTTTAGTTAAACCATGGATGCTGTGTTATATCTACATTGTCCTGTACTGCTGTTCTTACTGTGTTACATTACATTTAAATATTTGTCCATTACAAGAGCATCCAAATTACTTTACTTTTTTTGCTTATTTTAAGCATAATCTTTTCACATTTTTGTTTCCCTTTGATTCTGAAAACTGGGTATCTTCTGTAGTGTCTGGAAAATGTGATTTATTCGTGTTTGGATTATTGAGTAAAACTGAGTCACTGAATGAAATCAGTTAATTATTAATGAAAAATGCTGGTTGTGGCTACTCTTAATCCACTTACATTTTTAGGAATGTATGTTCTTGAGGTCTCTGATGTGTAGTTTGGTTAGACAGGGAATGGCAGGGCTGAATTATGGCAATATTATGGCAATGCATCCCATCAACTTTTATAAAAGGAAGCTGGTGAGCTTTTCCTCATCTTGTTTTTAGAGTCGTGTTTTTTCTGTGACCTTTTCCATACATGTATTTTCCTCTTTGAGGGGGTGTGGGCAGCCCATGTTGTTTTATATCACTGTTGTGTAATGAAGTAACACAAACATCTGCCGTAGCTGGGGCGGGGTGGGGGGGGGGGATTACAAAGAGGCCTGTGTCAGACGGGACATTAGCGGCCAGTAGAGGCGAACCAAAAAAATTCCACCGTGGTTTGAGGTCTGCTCCGCACTCGGCTCTCTGTAATTCAAAAGTTACAATGTTTACGTTTTAAATTCAAGAAAAGTTACGTGCCACTTCCTGCGGGGGCCCTCGTGTGACACTTGACTCATGTATGTGTTTTTTCTTTATTGTAAACCTGTGATATATTTACCTTCAAAGTAATATAAGGTAACACACTTTAAAACATTTAGTGTCACTGATATTTAACACATTTGTTCTCCCCATAAATTGCTTTGCTCTCTATTGTCACTAAATAGACTCTGAAGTAAAGAATATCTCCCCGCATTGTGCTTCAAACTGCGGAACAATGACTGTAACATCAGTAGAACAGGAAAAGGGTTGCCACAGAGTGAGAATTAAGCCCCAGGAAGAGAGGCAGGGGATATTGTAGTGAGTTCAAACACTGGATGAAAAGCCCACATTGTCATTGTGATGCGCCTGAATGGGATCGCGGGATCGTTTTCATAGCGGAGCGATCCGTTCTGCGGAATCACAAAAGCAGATGTTTCTAATTAGACACTCCTATTGTCTGTGTATCACAACTACGAGGCGGATCATCTTATTCCTTCGCGCCGGAACGTTCCGGCAGGCCCCGGACGCCCGTAGCGTTGCCGCGTGTACGCACGCCTCCGCGAAGGTCGATCAGACGCTTGCCGACGATCTTAAACCTTAAATGTAAACAATGATACCTGCGAGGTTTTTTTTTTTCCGAGAGTTGTTACGTCAATCCCTTCCTAAGGGACAGCTGCGGTTGACTCCGTCGGTTCAGAGCGAGATACAACTGTTGCAAGCTGGAGAGGGCGAGGTGGGAACGGGAAGGTCCACTCGCCGGCAGAAACGCTGGGCTGCCGGCTCACTCTGGCGCGTTCGGCGGGTCCCCGCTGCCCATTATCGACTGCATTCTCCACCACATTTTCCCAGATGGTACGGGGGGCAGTCTTCCTGCTAGCTGGCATCTCGTCGGACAGTAACTGGCAACCTCGTCGATCTGGCATTTTCAACGGAGTTTAGGAGACTTATCATTCCAAATGTGTCCTGTTTTCCTGTCCAGGAGCCAGACATCTGTTTAATCCATTTTCTCTACGAGTTTGTTTCAGCATTGGATTTTTTGGAAAAAAATAGAGAGAAGTTTGTCAGATTTAACAGCTGTTACAGGATTTCAGTCTTGATGGATCTTTAAATATTTAAAACTGACCTAAGACTATAGATAATTCATGTGTTTTTTTTTTTTTTTTTTGGGGGGGGGGGGGGGGGGGTTAGAATGGAGAACAATCAGTGCAAACAGCGTGCGTTATAAACCCGACACGGGTGAGGGAGGGAGGGAGGGAAGCACACGTACGCGCTCACACCCTTTAGCATGACTGAGCTTCAGAATTATTTATAACTGTAGTTTACAACTGCGGGCTAATAATGGACGGCTAGACTGGAGGCTGATTGGGGTTTCCCAGTCAGCAGAGCTTCCTTTCACTTCCTGTCACAAAGGTCAACAAACGCTGACCTTTGCAGGCAACCCACCCCCCCTGAATAATTCATGTGATTGACTTTTTTTTTTTGTCTGTACACACAGTTATTTGCTGGGACGTTTTATTCATTTATCCCATTCAGTGGCTCCCCCCTTGCACCTGTTCAAGTATTAATATCATGTAATGTTGGGCCCAATGGTGATTTTTGCGTAACAGTAATTGTATTTCTTTTGTTGCATTTATAAAAATAATTTTAAAAACGGGGAGACATCATACACGGCGGTATCCCAGGTCCGCTGGCCGCCAGAGCCTCACATCGCATTCTCAGGTCTTTATCAGAGGGGAAAATAATCAACATTTGACCAGTGGCTGTATGTTTTTTGTTTTGTTTTGTTTTTTTTTTGTTTCTTCTCTGTAACCAACCAGACAACTTAAAGTGTTTTCCCTCACGGCTTTGAAAGGCCGTGATTAACCTCCCCCCCCCCTTGGTGGAAGTTGTACAAATGCCAGCATTTATAAGGTCATCGCTTTTGTTGGGAAATGCTATGTAAATTAGCAGCAGCGAAAAGGGACATTAAACAAAATTCAATTCATTGTCTCCTTTAATGCCATTTACATTTTGGCTCAGTCCTGCACTGTCAAGGAGGATCTTTGAAATCATTTTAATTACATATCAGCTCGGAAACAGAAGGTTTTCCAACGAGGCAGCTTTTGCATAACCTGCAAAGTGGGATCTGTTTATTAACTTCTTAAGCGACGTGTGTGTTTTTTTTTTTTGTACCTCATCTGCATAATGTAATTAAAGCGGCACATTCTTGGCCAAAGCTGGGTCCCGTGTCTCCCTGCCACGAGGTAAAGAGGTGCGGCAGAGGGCAGGGCCGTGCAGGGCAGGGCCACCAATCCGGCGCTCCGTGCCCCCCCCCCCCCACACCGTCCCGGGGTTTCCTCTCCCACCGCCGACGCCCGTTTAAGCCGCACGCCGGAGACCCCGCGCTGGTTTCCGAACTCGAACGCCGCTCCTGATTAATGGCCGACCCTGTAGGACATACATCTCGGGCCGGGATGCACCTACAGGAGCCGCATACATGCGAGTACACAGGTGTGAACATCTTTGGGTTATTTATGAGCAAAGCCAGCAACCTGAGAGGGAGGGAGAGTGAGAGAGGGAGAGAGGGAGCAAGCTTTCCCCTTCAGATGAACATATCTGGACAAGGTACCCTTTACTGGCCGCGGAAAGTGTAAAGAGAGCAAAAGGAAGAGGGAGGAAAAAAGGTCAGGCGATTTTAATGGTTCAACGTGACAAAAACACGAGGAAGGCGTTACGTAACGAATGTGTAAACACGGCCCGCATTTGCGTGGATGTGGACAGCCTTGCGTTCACCGCACCGCCATCTTCCGGGGACATCCGAGGGCCCAGTCTTTGCACCAGCCTCCGTGTCACACTGCTCCCTCCGTGTCAGCCGACGTCGCGGGGTTGGGGGGCATTGGGGGGCCGTGTACGTCTTAAAGGAACGCAGACACTCAGCTAGCGGGGGTCG